GGTGCGCCCGTCGGGTCACAGGAAGAAGTCGGCGGCGCTCTTGGCCGGGGCCCCGGGCGGCGGGGCAGGGGCGGCGTCGCGGGGGGCGGCGGCGAAGGAGCGCCCGGCCAGCTTCTCGTACTTCTCCTTGTAGAGGTCGCGCTCCTTGGCGAGGCGGGCGACCTCCTGCTTGAGCTGCTCGACCTGGCCCTGCAGCTGGCACTTCTCGTTCTCCAGGATGTGCCGCTGCTGGACGCGCTTGTAGCGGCAGGACTGGGCGTAGCCGCGGTTCTTGAGGGTGCGGCGCTTCTGCTTGAGGCGGATGACCTCCTCCTTGCTGAAGCCGCGCAGCTGCCGGTTGAGCTCCCGCACCGACATGGAGACCAGCTGGTCGTCGGAGAAGCGCTCCTCCAGGCGCAGGTGGTGGTGGTGGGCGTGGTGGGCGCCCGCCAGGTGGTGGTGGTGGTGGTGGTGGAGCGGGTGGTGGGCGGCCGCCGCCGTCGGGGCCAGCTCCTCGGGCGGGAAGGGCTGCCCGCCGGGGCCGCCGCCGCGGAAGCCGTCGTAGGCGCCCTGGTGGTGGTGGTGGTGGTGGCCGTGGTGGTGGTGGTGGTGGCCGTGGGGGTTGCCGATGAGCGCCTCGACGGCGTCCTCCGGGGTGAGGTTGAGGGCCTCCGGGTTGAGGTGCTGCGGGTAGCTGGACATCCAGTAGAGGTCCTCCAGCTGCGCCTTGCCCGCCGCGCCCGCGGGGTTGCCGGCGGCCGGGTGGGCGAGGCCGGGGGCGGGCTGTCCGCCGGGGCTGGGCGCGCAGAAGCTGGGCGAGGAAGGCACGGAGGAGCAGGGCGTGCTGAGGGGCGTCGAGGAGAGCGAGCCCGGCGGCGGGAGGCGGTGGCAGAAGCGCTCGGCCTCGGCCGGCTCCTTCTTCACCTCGAACTTCATCAGGTCGAAGTCGTTGACGTACTCGATGGCCAGCGGGCTGGTGGGCAGGTCGGCCGCGCTCATGGCCAGCTCCGAGGCCATCTCAGGGCATCAGACGCGGGCCGCCCTCGACGGCTCGCCCGGCCCGCCCGCCCGCGGAGACTCCCGACGGCTGAAGCGG